CCATTAGAGAGGTAATAAAGGGAGATGTAATTATAGGATCTGGGGCCACTTCAGACACAGCTGCTGTCACTCGGCAGCTCATCTTTCATCCAGCCAGACGGTGGCTACCTGGGAGCAGGCTGCCCGGGGACCCTACGTGAAGAGGGATGGCTGGACTACACAAGGCAGCCGGGGCTGGCCAGGCTGTTCGGGACTCCCTTGAAGGCTTCCTGGACAGGGTAACTCAGGGCCTAAGGAAGGATAATGGGCTCTAATTGCTTGCTCACAGAACTAAGAGGTGGGTACTCTAAAGACTTAGGTTTAGCTGGGTGCTGGTAGCTCACACCTAGAAATCCTCGCCACTCAGGAGGCTGAGATCTGAGGATCAATCACAATTCAAAGCCAGTGTGGACAGGAAAGTCTGTGAAACTCTTCTCTCCAATAAATGGAGTTGTAGCTCAAGTCCTATGGCACCCAGCTCTAGTAACCAGGCCCTGAGTTCAAGCCCCACTACCAGCCCCAAAAAGCATATAATAATAACAACAACAATTAAATACTAGAGATTTTGGACATGTCCTCCAATTACCTAAATGCTTAGAGAATTCAACTCAAGCTAAAAAACCTGCACTTGGGAATAGAACTGCTTCAGACTGACTGGAACAATGGCAAATCACAGCCCCAAATTTTCCCAGGGAACTTATTCATGTCCCAGGAGAACCTTGGGCCAGAAATTAATCTACAGTACTTTCTCTCCCCTTGTTTTGAGATCTTGTTCTCTGAAGTTGTAGTTATCCAAGGCCAACCACAGTCCAAAAATAAAGATATAAGCAACTTAGCTTTTTAACTGTGGAACTTTCTGAGTAGTGTGATGGAATTTCATGCCATCCCAATCTGTTCTGCCCAGGACACAAATCATCCCATTGTCCAGTATATCTGTACTGTATATGCTAGCTGCCCACCATCACCAGATCAACTGACAGTACAGGTGTTCAGGCAGACTTTATTTTACTTAAGATGGCCCCAAACCACAAAAGTAGTGATGGGGAATTGGGGGCATGGCTCAATTGGTAGAGCGCCAGCCAATGAGTGAGTCAGGTTCCAAGTTTGAGTCCAGGTCTTAGAACAACAAGAAAGAAAGAAGGGAGGGAGGGAGGGAGGGAAAGAGGGAGGGAGTAACTCTGGTGTTATATAACAATGCAGGAAAGAATAGTGTATAATAGGGTTCAGGCATCCCCAACTAAAGCTTCAGGCATCTACGGAGGGTCTTAGAACATAACCCCCATGCAATACGAGTGCTCTTCTTCTTCTGTCTGGCCAGTACTTCTGGTAAGATACCCTACATATAGTGAGTGCTCAGTCTCAGCATACAAAAGCAAGTGTGGCATGGCTTCTGTGTGCCAGGCTCTGGACCTGAAGAGCAGGCAGACACTGAAGCATGAGCTTTGGTGTGTACACTTGAGTCTCCTCAGAGCTCCAGGCCAAAGCACTCTGAGTGATCCGTCCTCCCTCGTCCCTCCCAGACCAGAGTGGACAGGAGCCACACTAGACTGTGTGTTCAGCGTAGGCTTCAGCTTCCATTCCCCCCCCCCCCCCACACAAATTGCATTCTCTGTCTTTCTCTGTCTCTTTCTCTCTCAGTCCATCTCTCTCTTGTTAGTGAGCCTGTCTTCTGATGAGTTTTCCATCTAATTGGAGATGGGATTAAGTCAATTAGTTTAAAACTACTGGGTGCATACTGTGTCATTTTCTGTCATATGAGGTTTACATGCAGTAGCAAGAGACTCCACTCATTAATTTTACCTTAAACACTGGAAGGTCAAGCCCAAATAATTCAATATGCAGATTTATGCAAAATAGGCAAATCTGTGTTTGAGACAGACAACTGTTCATTTTGTGTGTGTGTGTGTGTGTGTGTGTGTGTGTGTGTGTGTGTGTGTGTGTGTGTGTGTGTACTGGTGCTGGGGCCCTGGCGCTGTCCCTGAGCATTTTTGCTCAAGGCTAGAGTACTAACTGTTGAGTCACAGCTCTACTTCCAGCCTTTTAGCCAATAATTGGAGATTAAGAGTCTCAAGGAGGGGCTGGGAAGGTGGCTCAGTGGTAGAGTGCTTGCCTTGCATGCATGAGGCCCTGGGTTTGATTCCTCAGCACCACACAAGCAGAAAAGGCCAGAAGTGGCGCTGTGGCTCAAATGGTAGAGCGCTAGCCTTGAGCTGAAGAGCAGAGGGACAGCACCCAGGCCCAGAGTTCAGGCCCCAGGACCGGCAAAAGAAAAAAAGTCTCAAGGATTTTCCTGACTGGGCTGGCTTTGAACAGTGGTCCTCAGATCTCAGCCTCCTGAGTAACTAAGATAACAGGCATGAATAGCTCATTTTCCTCTTTTATCTAAAGGAATTTAGCTTTGGATGAGGAGACATGCAGGTACAAAAGGGACTGGCATGGCTGCTGGAATGGCATCCATGCTGTGACTGCCTCCCCAGAGGCTCCGATGCACTGCTGAGCATGGAGCAGGCGTCAATTCTCCCAGCAATCCTGCACGGGGTGGGGGTGGGGCGGAGGCTCTTCTGTGAGTCCCACTTGATAACTCACAAAGATGAAGTCTCTTGCACAGGGCCAGTGAATACAGAGAGGGGATGAAAGTGACTCAAAGTCTGTGCCCCAGCCACCACGCTGCTCTGCTCCTCCCGCTGGTCTGGCATTGATGGGTAGCAGTCTCCTGGTCCTGCACCTCTGTCTCAGAAAGGGAAGTGAGGTGATGGCAGGAGAAGCAGTGACCCCAAAAACCACCAGGCGCCACTCCAGAGCTGTTTCTAGAATGCAGTATCTGGCCGACCCAGATAGGAATGTGGGGGGGCAGGGCCGGTGGCTGTACCCAATTTGGCCCTGGGTTAGTAGAGCAATCTAGGCTGAGGTGTCTTAAGCAGTGGCCTGACCCCACATCGGTGCTGAGCCAGCACGGGGCAGATTCAAAACTACTGAGTGTGTAATCCCTCGAGAGGCTGAGCTCCTCAGCAAGGGCGGACCGGCAAAGTCCCTGGCAAACCTGTCCTGCAGTCCAGGGATCACCAGGGACTCCCCCAGACTGTCTGCCAGCAGCACCCCTATCGCCTCCAGCCTCTCTGAGAGCCCTGCCTACAGGAAGGCTCCTTCCTCGCGTGGCACACAAGAGCTCTCACATAGGCCCACCCAAGTCCACTGTGGGCCTTGGCATTCAGAGGCTGGAATCCCTCTGCTCTAAAGCCGTGACCAGCCTATTCACCTTTCGGGGCCATGGCAGACAAAAGAAAGGGATGGAAAGACAGGAAGACAAGCCATCCCACCAGCTAGAACTAGAGTGGGGAGGAGGGAGTCATGATAGATCTATGTGCCACACTCTGTCAGGGTGTTAGAACAAAGAAGAGCAGCCACACGGCACCAAAAAGGTGCCTTAAAGTGTGCACAATGTAGAACTGTGTGTGTAAACATGAAGAATCAGCTCCTGCCATTTACACAAACCAAAAAAAAAAGAGGGTTAAAGCCCATAGGGCTTGAGATACACTGCACACACTTCTCACCTCAGAAACACTCTTAACATCATGAAATCCAACAGAGTGCTGGTGGTTCACACCTGTACTCCTAGCTACTCAAGAGGCAGAGATTTCCTGGCCACGCAGGAAAATCCATGATTCTCTTATCTCCAATTAGCCAACAAAAAGCCACAAGTGAAGTTGTAGTTCAAGTGGTAGAGTGCTAGTCTTGAACACAAAAGCTCAGGAACAGTACTCAGGCCTTGAGCTCAAGCTCCAGGACTGGCACACACACTCATACACATTCATACACACACACACACACACACACACACACACACACACACACACACACAGGGCAGATGAGTATGAGGCAATAGAATATGCACACTATTTTGACTCTGCTAAGTTTCATAAGCATATATAAGGTATGCCATGTGTGTGTGTGTGTGTGTGTGTGTGTGTATGTATGTATATATATATATATACATATATGCTAAAACATTAAATGGTATACTATATTTTTTAAAAATCATGGAATCTAGGCTGAGTGCTAGTGGCTCACACCTATAATCCTAACTACTCAAGAGGTTGAGGATTGAGGTTCAAAGCTAGCCTGGGCAAGAAAGGCCATGAGACTTAGAATTCAAATCTCAGGCCAACTGCTAACTCATGCTCTGCCCAGAACAGTCAACCCCTCTTGTGATCTGCTTTCCAGCATAATCCCCACAAGGTCTACCAGACATCCCTGCTCTGTCCTTCAAAGGTTTAGGGATGCTTTATGAATATTACAAATAGTAGACCTGGCCAGTGCCAACTGTAATCTTAGCTACTTAGGAAGCTGAGATCTGGGGATTGACTTCAAAACCAGCCTAGGCTTTATCTGTGAGTCTGTGATTCTAATCTCCAATAAACAACCAAAAAAGCCATAAGTAGAGCTGTGGCTCAAGTGGTAGAGCTCTAGCTTTGAGCAAAAGAAGCTCAGACAAAGTGCTCAGGCCCTGAGTTCAAACCCTAGCTCTGGCACAAACAAATAGTAAACGGGGCACCAGTGGCTCATGCCTGTAATCCTAGCTACTCAGAAGGCTGAGATCTGAGGATCATAGTTCAAAGCCAGCCCAGGTGGGAAAACTCCATGAGATTTTTTATCTCCAATTAACCACCAGAAAACTGAAAGTGGTGCTGTGGATTAAAGTGATAGAGTGCTAGTCTTGAGCAAAAGAGCTCAGGGATATTGACCAGGCTCTGAGTTTAAGCCCCACAATCAACAAAAAGAAAAAAAAAAATATAACTCTTTCCAGAATGACTAAGAGCTCATAAAGTTCTTAGAAATTACTGAACCTTCCATACCCGCAACTCTCTAAAATCCCACTGAGAGAAAGGACCACAAGGAAGAGCGGGTTGCCAAAGGACCTCCCAGTCTACCCAGGGGCTGGGCACCACAAATCAAACCACAGCTACACAACAGGCCTTGGGGTGAGCTCTTGGCCACACTCTCCCACAACCCCCATGACTCACCTGGGATGTTCTTGGCCCAGCCAATGATGACCACAAGCTCCCGATCTGCCAGGTCGCAGAGAGTCGTCAGGGACTTGATGTCCCCCTCAGGCATTTCGGGGGGAGGCATGGCATACAGTTTGTCTGGCTCAGCCACCAGTAGGTACGAGACAATCTTGGTCACTGCAAGGACCAAAGACAGAAAGGTGAACACCTTCGTGGGGTGCTGGTGGCTCACACCTGTAATCCTAGCTACTCAGGAGGCTGAGATCTGAGGATCGTAATTCAAAGCCAGCCTAGGCAGGAAAGCCCATGAGACTCTTATCTCCACTCAGCTACCAGAAAACTGGAAGTGGTGCTGTGACTCAAGTAGTAGAGCATTTGCCTTGAGCTGAAGAGCTGAGGGACAGTGTTCAGGCTCAGAGTTCAAGCCCCATGACTGACAAAAAAAAAAAAAAAAGGTGACCACCTGAGGAAGAGGGCGGGGCAGAGCTTAGGACAAGTCAAGAAGAAGCAGGATTCCCAGGATTCCTAGAGCCTCAGGAAGTTCAAACACAACTGTGATTTGACTCTACTAAGTTGCTGGCAGCTATGATGTCAGATGGTCTTTCCTAGGAAGTTGCCTGATGAATGGTCCCAGGAAAAACCTGCAAACTGCAAAGCACCTTGAAGGGGAGGTGGGGGGGGGGGGGGGGCGGGGAGTTACTTGATGCTGGGCCTCTGGCTTCTTTTAATCTTTCCCCCAGTCCTGGGGCTTGAACTCAGTCAGGGCTTGCGCACTGTCCCTGAACTTCTTTTGCTCAAGACTAGCACTCCACACTTGAGCCACAGAGCCACTTCCAGCTTTTCTGTGTATGTGATACGGAGGAATTGAACCCAGGGCTTCATGCATGCTAGACAAGCACTCTACCACTAAGCCATATTCCCAGCCCCAGGTCTCTGGCTTCTTAAGATCATGCTTCCTTGGGAGCTCTGTGAAGTCCCATTTGGATGGACTTTCAATATAAAGCCAGGAAACAATCCTTCTCCCCAGGGGATGCTCTGATGTCCCTTCCACTCCAGATCCACACTGTCCCTGGCCCAGTGGTAGAGAGGTAGCATTTCCCCAAGGGATGTCCAATATTCTAGGACAAGGTGCTGGATGCCCTGGTACGCACATGGCTTTTTAGCAGGTGGAGAAATTTGTAAGTTCAGATATGAGCTGCTCTCCGAGTCCAGTCGCCGCTTGTATTTCTGACGGCCTCCACGCACACGGTCAAGACGCACACCTGTCAGGGAGGAAAGGAGACAGTCTTAGGAGCTGGCCGACATCTCCAAGGGTGCTGCAGTGACTTTCAGATGCAGCACTGGCTAAGTCCTCCATGGTCCTGCCCTGGTGGCCAACCAGCCTCAGGCTAGGAAGCTGAACAATCTTACAACAACTGTCTAACACTAATGGCATACACTCGTCCCAGGCCTGGTCCTGCCTCTCTGGTTCCACATTCTCCTGAAATCCATCCCAAGTGACTTCCTTGAACCTTTGTCTTTTTTTGGGGGTGGGGGGGTGGGGAGGGACAGTCCTGGGGCTTGAACTCAGAGCCTGGGCACTGTCCCTAAGTCTCTCTGTGCTCCAGGCTAGTGCTCTACCACTTGATCCACAGTGCTACTTCCAGCTTTTACTGTTTCTGTGGTACTGAGGAATCCAACCGGGGGCTTCACCCATGCTAGGCAAGCGCTCTACCACTAAGCCACATACATTCCTAGCCCAGAGCCTTTGTCTTTCAAAAGGAAAATGTGTCAGTGTTTTAGTTCTGCCAGCATCAGAGGAAGGTAGAGTTTTTCTTGTCCAGATGGGAAGGAGCCATATTGGCAGATACTTTGTAACTGCCCAACAGGGGCAGAAGCACATACATTGTGGGCTTTCATTACAAATGTCAGTGCTTTCCCGGTGCCTCATGCCTATAACCTATGCAACTAGGAGGCTGAGATCTGAGGATGGCTGTTCAAGCCAGCCTGGGCAGGAAGTCCATGAGACTCTAAATTCAACTAACCACAAAAAAGGGCCAGAAGTAGAAGTGTAGCTCAAGTGGTATAGCACCAGTTTTAGCATAAAAAGCTAAGGGACAGTGCCTAGAGTTCAAGCCGCAAGACCAGCAAAATAAATAAATAAATAAAATTCTGGATGTATTCTCCAGGGATGGGGCACTACATCATGTCTTCACCACCACCCCCCAAATCCAGCCATCATGGGGATATAGGATGGCACCAATTACAACAGAAGCTGTCAAACTAGCTCCCAAGTTTGAACACGGAGAGCACAAGGGGTGTGTGTGGGGGGGGGGGGGGGGGGGGGAGGGCGAGGGGGGAATGAGACAGAACAGGAAGTAAAATTAAAGTGCAGCCCCATTGAGTAGGTACCCAAACCAGGGTACTGGAGTCCCTGGAAGCCTGGGATCCACTTCTGCCTTTCTGCCCAAGGTTCCAACACCTGTTGGTGTTCAGGCCCGTCCTTGGGCTCCTTAAGTTGAACTAATATGAGCAGCTTGTCCTGATCACGAAATGTTCCTCGACTATAAAAGAGAAGTCAGACATGGAGACCAGAGTAATCAGAGAAAGGAAGTATGGCAGCTGCCTCAGCCTCTGGGTGACATACCAAGTGCTGGTACAGATACAACAGGTACAGATCTAGATGAGTGGCCAGGCAGAAGGGAAGCCCTTTCCCCAATCTGGGCTTCATCCACACACCTCCCCCCTACCCCTCCCAGGGAGGTAGCAAACCAGCTAGGCCCAGCCAGGCTTTTCTCTCCCAAGGCCAGGAAGGAGGAAATCAGGAAAATTGCAGAGCAATGGAAGAAAGCTTCAGACCTCATTCATGCCAAGGGGCAGTCTCCTACCTGTTTCTTGGAGCTTTTAAGTATACAGATATGGGAAGTTCCCAGTAGCACAGAGCTACGGAAATAGTAGGATGGGTGGGGTAGGAACAATTCATTTAAATAGATAAGGGGCAAGGGAGGACACCTATACAGTTTCCAGTTAGTGACTGAAGCCCACGTGTTCTTCCCAGAGGCTCAGGACCTGCCCCCCCCCCTCAGCCCCTTCCATTAGCCACCAGAAGGGGTTCTCTCTTGCTTTTCAATCATTTTCATCAGCAGCATCTCCTACACCTTGAAATTTTTGTACTTTGAGGCCCATATACAGCTTTGTTGTTGTTGTTGTTGTTTTATGCTGGAGGTAGGGCTTGAATTCAGGACCTTGGCTATGTCCCTCAAGCCTTTTTGCTCTAGGTTGGAGTTCCGCCATTTGTTCCATACCTCTATTTCTGGAGCTACAAGTTAAGTGAGCTTGCTGCTTGGGCTGATTTCAAACTAGGATCCTCAGATCTCAGCCTCCTAGTAGCTAGATGAGGTATGAGCCATTGGCACCTAGTTCTGTATGCTGCTTTGTTTTGGGTTTGGGGGGGGGTCTTAAATTACCAGTTTTGGGGCTTGAACTCAGAGCCTGGGCACTGTCCCTGAGCCTCTCTGTGCATAAGACTAGCACTCTACCACTTGAGCCACAGTGCCACTTCCAGCTTTTTCTGTGTATGTGGTGATGAGGATTCGAACCCAGGGTTTCATGCATGCTGGGCAAGCACTCTACCACTGGGCTACCTTCCCAGCACCCATATACTGCTTTGAATGTGGTGGTAGTGATGGGGGTGCTACTCAGCATCCCCATCACATGTGATTTCTATTCAAGGCAACTCCCATCAGGCCTTAGGATGCAGTCCTGTGATCCCAGGATCAGGAAAGGCAGAAGCAGGAATGATCATGTATTTGAGGCCAGCCTTGGGATACTATCAAGACCCTGTCTTAATAAAACCAAACCAAACCAAGATGGTAGGACTCGCCTACCATCTTGAGGGACTTTGCCCTGCCTTCCACTTAATACCTGAAGTCTAGGTTCTCTTCTCCCTATTCTCAAGAGAACAGACACAGACATAACCAACCTGACCACAGAGACATGACAGAGGTTGAGGCCTGACCTCACTGATGAGTAATTCCTGGCTCATGGGCTTATCTGTGGTCTTGGAGTGTGGTTCTCAGTCCCCATCTTGACCTCCAATAGACTCTTAATGACTTGACTCTGCCCAGAGGTTCAGACATGGTTGTCTCTGCCCACATTTGTGCTGGTCTCCAGTAACAATAAGAAACTTGGGTCATGGGGAAGGGAGGGATAGAGACAGGCAGCTGAGGCCTGTGATGGTGTCAGGGGCACATAACGGAATAAAACATGCTCAGTCTCCACTGCCTTTCCAAGTGGGGGGGCCACAGGTCAGCAGTGCCCATCAATCTACTACTTTGTAGGATGAAGCAGTTTTCAGGTGCTGCTGTTGGCCATCACACATGGTTGTAGCCTCCATCTCCATCAGCACCCTGGACCTTAGGGAACAGCTGAGCCTACCCAGCACAGCTAACAGCCTGCTGGAGGGACTGTGGTTCAACTTTACCCTCACCCCTGCATCCTAACCCTCTCCCCTTTACTTTCCCCTTCTCTTGTTCTGTCTCTGTCGCTCTGTCTCTCTGTCTCTCTGTCTCTCTGTCTGTCTGTCTGTCTCTCTCTCTCTCTCTCTCACACACACACACACACAGCAAGGGGAGCTTGTGGTTGAAGTTCTCTGCATAGAAGCATTTCTGACCCCATTCTGCAACACATTGTCACAGAAGACCCTGCATACCATACCTAAGAAACCAATCCACACTTGAGTTTTGTGTCCTCGTAAAATTCCAGAAGAGACCAAGAGTGAAAATCAAGCTTTACTCACAAAGGACAATGAGGACCGTATTTCTAGAGCACCCACCAAATGCTGGGGCATTCTCCCCTTGGGGGGGGGGGGGCCTGACCCACCTTCCCACTTCCTTGCCAGAAGCTACTCTAAGATCTCATCTTGTCCTAGGTAGCTATCAGCCAGAGACAACTTTGGGACAAAAGGCAACGAGACATCTACCTTCAGCAAGGTACAGATAGATGGGCAGTGACCTCTTCTGCTGATGGCTCTTTCTGGAATGTTCTCTGACCCAACACAGGACCTGATCCTTAGTTAATGTTCATTCTACTATCTTCTCATTCCACACGAGGCTAATGCTTCTTCAATAGCACCTGGAATTCCCCTACTGACCAGGCACCCCTTAAGGCCCTTAAGGCCAGGGGCAGGAATCTTGAGGTCTCTTTTCAAGGACTGTTAGGGAACCTGGAATATAGTAGGTGCTTATGAAAAGCACCTATGGACACCTTCTGGTAATTCACAGTAACAATGATAATGGCCATCAGCATGCTTTCTGGAGGATTTTCTGGAAATGGTATGCTATTTAACCTACTATTACTCTCATTTTACAAATCAGAGAGAGAGAGAGAGAGAGAGAGAGAGAGAGATTTGTCCAACAAAAGAATCAGTAGTGAGTGTCTCACCATTCTAAGGAATGGCCTACAGGTCACAGCAAAGATTCTCCTCGGGCTGGGAAGGTGGCTCAGTGGTAGAGCGCTTGCCTCGCATGCCTGAGGCCCTGGGTTCACTTCCTCAATACCACATAAGCAAAAAGAAAAAAGCCAGAAGTGGCGCTGTGGCTCAACTGGTAGAGCGCTAGCCTTGAGCTGAAGAGCTGAGGGACAGCACCCAGGCCCAGAGTTCAGGCCCCACGACCGGACCCCCCCCCCCAAAAAAGATAACACTCCTCTAGATTTTTCTCCTCTAGATCTTTTATACCCTAGTGATCAATGGTTCTCATCAATAAATATTTCAAGGGCTAGGAAGGTGGCTCAGTGGTAGAGCACTTGCCTTGCATGCATGAGGCCCTGGGTTCGATTCCTCAGCACCACATAAACAGAAAAACAAAAAGCCGGAAGTGTCGCTGTGGCTCAAGTGGTAGAGTGCTAGCCTTGAGCTGAAGAGCTGAGGGACAGCGCCCAGGCCCAGAGTTCAGGCCCCAGGACCAGACCCAAAAATAGATAGATAGATAGATAGATAGATAGATAGATAGATAGATAGATAGATAGAAAGAATATATCAATTATAAGCTTTTTTTTCCTTTTTTTTTTTTTTGTTGGTTGTGGGGCTTGAACTCTGGGCCTGGGTGCTGTCCCTCAGCTCTTCAGCTCAAGGCGAGCGCTCTACCACTTGAGCCACAGCGCCACTTCCAGTTTTCTGGTGGTTTATTGGAGATCAGAGTCTCACGGACTTTTCCTGCCCGGGTTGGCTTTGAACCACAATCCTCAGATCTCAGCCTCCTGAGTAGCTAGGATTACAGGCATG